GCTTGTGCGCTTCGAAGGCGGCTCAACCCGTCTTCAGGCGCGCGCACATACAAAAACCATTCACCTCAAAGAGGGCATCACAGAACATTCGGTCACTTTAAGAGTATGCACGGAGAAATGCAAAGATAACATGGAACCCGCCACAACCGGTACAAAACTTGCACGACCAACTCTCCTAGCAACTTGAAGTCCTGCCTCTGCACCACACAATTCCTCAGCAACTATGGACGTTGCTTGAGTGGAAGAGTATGTGCATGGCCCGCTACGATCTGTATAGAACTTTACTGCCCTGGCACATTTGATGGCGGCTTTGATGCAAATTACTACTGTGGGGTCACTTGTATGTCTCACATCTATGATGCCAGCCATACCTTTCTAACAACTTTGCAGCCGTATCGACAACCATTGGGGGTACAGTTTAGAAATCCTGTCGAGAATGGATCAGCAAAAGTGCTGATTGGAGAGGAAATAGAAGCCCGGGATCGACTTTCGAATATCTGGGGCTTCATTGGTAATCCGCCTCGTGTAGAATGAAAGCGAGCTTTACCATCCTCCTTGATCCTTGAGTAAGATTTGAAGGCCTAAGGCGGCCTGCACTCCAGTTATACAAGTAAACGTCGAATGCATTACGCATGTGAAAATCAATCGATAGTTGGGGATAAGACTTGCACGTTGGTCGCCTTTTGCTCTGTGAAATGCCGTGTTAGGGCCGTACCTAAAATATGATAAATGCGCTTTTAGAAAGACCGCAGATATTCGTACCAGAAGCATAGGACCAAGCATATTCCAAATTTCAGCGTGAATGCGAGCCCGAGAGCTTCCCATGAAATTTTGAGGCAAGCTCGTTCAAGTAAACGCTTGGACCAAAGCTTCTCACTATATATCATCCGACCTCTTGAATAGCTAGAATATCTCTGTGCAAGGGTTCCGACGGGCGGACTATTTAGAATTCTGCGCATCGACTCCCATCTCTCTCGACTTTATGCAGCCTTTGCATTTGTGTTCGAGTATGTGCAGAGTTTATTTTCAAGGTTAGGCGTCGTTCAGCTCGAAATCACGTATATACGAGTAAAGCCAAGATATGGTCGAGGCCGAAAGCCTTGCCGGCCATGTCAATATTGCACGTTGATCCCTGACAAATCTTGAATTTATTCAAAGGGTCAACACAATTCCACACTAAAAGACCGAAATGTCTTCTTTTCGCACCGAACTCAGCGAGAGACCCGAAAGTCTTGAGAACAAATCTGGTCGAGCGGCTATGGTTCAATAGGGACAGAGGTCGTCCTCTCTCTAGGCGTCTTCCCTTGCATTATTACTCCACTTCTCATGCCTCTACAACTTTTATCCATGAGATGCCATTCATTTCTTATCAAGCTGTGTCGGGGTTCACTCTCCTATATAAACCCAAGCACACCTACTACTTTCTGTGCCATCATTCGTCCCACGAAATGATGTTCAAGAACGCTATCTACGCTGTCACTCTCCTCCTCACCAGCACTGCTGTCTCGGCACAATTTGGATCATGCGTCAACCAAGCCTGCATCGCCGCCAACAACCAGTACCAAACCTGCACCACAAACTCTCCCAACAACTTGAAGCCCTGCCTCTGCACCACTCAATTCCTAAGCAACTATGATCGTTGTTTGGGAGGAAGAATATGCGCATGGCCCGCTACACTTTGCCCAGACGTTTACTGCCCCGGCACGTTTGATGGTGGATTCGACGCAAAGTACTTCTGTGGTGTCACTAGTAAGTTCCAATAGTACGATGCAAGTCATACCTTTCTAACCAATTTGTAGCCGTTTCGACATCCCTTCCGGCCGGGCCTACGATTTAGGCGCCAACCGCAACACATGCCATCGAGACTGGATGAGCGCGAGTAGATTGAAAGGGAAGGAAGAGGACCGAAGCGAGACTTTGCACGTCCAATGCCCCATTGGTAGTCCTTCTCGTATAGAATGAAACCAACTTTACTACCGCCCTCGGTCCCTCTACTTGAATTTGTAAAAGAAACCTATACTATGGCTAGGCAATAAGATAATCTTTAGTCGTGTTACGTACGCGAAGGGTAGCCCACTATTTTTTTAGTGAGCTGAGAAATGCCGTGCTACGGGTACTAAATCGTACCTAGAAGATGACCAGAGTACGTCTAGAAAGGCCGTCGATGATCATAGCATGTCTGAATTTCTGCATGAACACGGGCCAGAAAGTATCCCATAGGCTCTTAACGCGAAACGGTTGAAGCGGGGTTGTATTGAAGCCTCTCGTTCCAAATCACCCGGTCTTTTGACTAGCTAGAGTATCTCGATACGCAAGAGTTCCGAAGGGCGGGTATCTAGAACTATGTGCATCGACCTCCGTCTTTCTCTCAGCCGCACGCAACATATGCAACTTTTGTGCTTGAATTCGTGTCTGTGCAGAGTTTACTTTCAGTATTAGACGTTTTTCATCTCGAAATCGTGTATGCACGGGTAAAGTCAAAACGTGGTCAAAGCCGAAGACGTGGCCGGCCTATTCATCGCAGGTTGAACCCCGACAAATCCTCTCCAAATAGCCTAAACAAATCCACGGCGCCACTACCGAAGTGTATCCTATCCTTCACAGTCTCCAATATGAGAGTTGATGGGCTCGAAATTCCATCAAGTTGAACAGTTATGGGTCAATATAGTGGGGTGATGTTCTCCCTTGGGACGTCTTCTCTCCATACGGCTCTAACCTATTCGTGAAACATGATTCGCTTCTAATCACGCCGTTCTAGACATTGCTCAGATGGGGTCAGTTTTCTATATAATACCGGGTCTACCCTACCGCCATTCACTCCTGCAACGTAGATGAAGGGCATTTAACAAATATTATACCCTTACCTATTCGATCCCTACTTAGAGAACAATATAGACAGTAAAGCTCGTTTTCATTTATGCATGATATGAATTGCCAATGAGACATTACGTTCCATTCTATACCTATGCCGCTCCAGTCTCGATGGGGATTGCGGTTGTGCTTAGAGTAATAGTCGGAGGGACTATAAAGCAGTTAGAAGGGCATGATTCTTATCATATACTCAGAACTCACTACTCCAACTGCAGAATGCATTCGCGTCAAATCCACCGTCGAACGTGCCAGGGCAATAAACTGCCTGACAGATTCGAGCGGGCCACGGACAAACCGTTCCACCTAGACAACGTCGATAATTATTTATGAATGCCTCGGTACA